TCCATGGGGTAATTCAGGAGTGTATGTAACATGGTTCTCATATCTGACGGAAACCGGAATGGGAACACTAAGGGTCCTGCTGTCCCATATTCTCAGCTCTGCATACCTTCCCTAGCAACCCCAGTATCCTACAGATCCAAATTAGGTGACTTCACATTCCCTATACTTCGGGGAATATTTAGGAGCTCCAGTGTGCAGAGACTATGCTTTCCACATACTCCACTGTCTACATAGAAAAGTGATCCACAGAAGACAAAAAAACCCACACAGGGTGGACTGAGCATATCCATCCAAAGGAAGCTATGGCAAACAAGAACAAATTCACCTTGGTCCAGCCAGCCAAGGGGCATGAAAAATGGAAATATTTTTGTTTTGTCTTGTCTGAAGGACAAATCAGCATAACACTGTGCTTGATCTCTTTCTGCATTTGATGAGCCAAGGTTCCGTGAAGAGCAGCATGAATCTGTTCCCACAACCTTCAGTCCTTGATTCCAACTACAAGGAACACATGATGCTCCATGAAGGTCTCATTTTCCCTCTCAGCTTTTGGCCCTCACCCAAACTATGACCTTGACCTGTGCCTTGGGTTATTCAACTTTATGCTCCCCTCTGCTGTCAAAAGATGTCATCAGCCTTCCCAAATTCTTCGTATTTGAGAAGCCCAGGGGTCACTTCTAGGATGCTTCCAAACTTTCCTACTGAGTCAGGGACTCTCTTCTACATTCCTGTGTGTCCTCAAACAGTCTGCTAGCTCCTCTCGTGCCCAGTACAGTCTACCTTCTTTCTGGGTAGAGAAAACAACTTTTCTTGGCACCTCTGGAAAAGCTACAATGCCAACTACGTACAGGCTCTATGCTCGCTAAATATTTTCAGTTGATTACACACATGAACAAACTCAACAAATGCTTATCAGGATGGACATAGATAATCCACCTGAGAGAACTGCATGACTGTGCACTACAGTGTTTACATTTTTAACCTAAAAGCAATCGCCTTCAAAGAGTCACCAGAGAATTGTGGGAGGAGGGAGATAAGAGCAACAAGATGCTGGGAATTGCTGAAGACGGGTGTCATGCACAGGAAACTCACTGTCATGTGCTGTTTGTGTGTTTGACATTTCCCTAAATAAAAGCTGAAATCCCATACCCCTGTGCTCATGTGAATAAGCATTAATGAAGTTTCAATACTAGAAAGTCTTCAGCACTCCTGCAGGAATGTCCAAACTGGGAAGAGGAAGAAAGGGAAGGAAACCAACAGCTTGTCTTCGTTCCTCCTCTTAATTCTGAGATAGTTATAGATGGGGAAACTGAGGCTTGATGGTGAGTAAATGAAAGAGCCAGAATTTAAACTTTTAAACTTGTGTCCAATCCTCCTACCTCAGCTTCCTAAGTGCTAGGACTACAGATGGTACCACCACACCTGCTCTTATTGCTGCTATATTACTTAAGAGCTATATCTGGAAAGATTGCATTATCTGGGATGGTTAACTTGAGTTAATCTGAAAAAAAAATTATTAAAATTCCAAGAAATAATAGTTACACTCTAGAAGCATTCCCACACCAGGGACAGTGGCTCATCTGGTGTCCCCCTTCGGGGTAATCCAGTGCAGTATCTTTATTTGTGTTTCCAGTATGCAAAGACCTGGCTGAGTCTCTACCTGGCTCTCTTTTTCTCTTGTACACACATCACCATGATAACAGCTTGGCAGAGACTTGAGGCCAGGTTTTACCAAATGCCACCAACCGTAGGTCACCACAGGTGGAGATTTCTGCACCAGCTCTATGCCACACCAAGGGCCACACACAAAGTTGTCTTCTGCAACACTCTGAAGACTTAACCTCAAAGACACCTTGGAAGTGAATGCTACCAGTAATAATAGGCCACCAGGAGCGTGTCCCCTTTTCTGGCCAGGGTGCCGTTCTGACAGATGCCAGACTCAGCATCACGAGGGATAAGCCCATTAAGGGCTTGGAAAGCTGCTAGCACTTCTTATCGCATCTTCTCCCAGCCAAAAAAATAATCGCATGATGCTCAAGGTGGTGCCAAATGTGTGGAAATATGGGCCTCTTCCCTGCTGCACACAGACCCTAATGTCCCTATCCCCAGCGGAAGCCAAGGCTGCTGTCCAAACACACCAATCCTTTAAGGCCTATTTGGTGCTAAGTAAAAAGTGTTCCCCATCGATATACGAATCAGAAACTCTGCATGGACTGTGGAGTGACTACCATCTGTACTCTCTGTTCCCTTCCTCCACTCTGGCCCCAAGGACATGTCACCAAATGCTGTATGCTAGTCAGGCCCTCGACAAATAGCTTGTCATCTAGTCCAGAAAGGTAATTACCAACATAATTATCAAAACCTTTTATTTTTCAGGGCTAAGTCGAGCATCTCTCTAGGAAAGCCGCTCTTCTGGTCTGTTTGTTCTCCAGCTGATATGTTATTAGCTCTTAGGGACCGTGCAGGGGTCCTCATCCCTGACATTTCAAAGCAAAACACAAATATCTAAACACCTTTCTACAAAATATCTTTCTCAAATGCCAAATTTTAACCCAGAAGGTTTAGACTAAAACAAAGCCATAAAACGATTTTAACCTGTCACCCCCCAAACTTCCTGTACTCGTGTTAGCCTTTTGGTTTGGTTTTAACACAGGGTCCCAGGTACAGGATGGCTTCAAACTTGCTATGGGGTGGAGGACAACTTTCAACTTCTGTCCTCTCCTCTCCACTTTTCAAGGGCTAGGATTACAGGTATACACCAACATACCCAATGTAGGTAGGACTGGGAATTGACCTCAGAGCTTATCAACTGATCCATATTCCAATCCCTTGAAGCTGTATTCTACATGGGTTTGTAACCACATGATACACACCCAGCCTCTGTTTGTCCCGTGGAATGTCTTAGGCTACTAATACATGATGATGTCTTTACCACTTGGGTAAATTTTTCTTTCTCAAAGTTGTCTCTCAGTTTCTTTGCCAGGGCAGCCTAGGAACACAGAACACAGCTCCTCTAAATTCTCGCACCGGAAGCTGGTGCAAACAGGTGAGCATGGAAGTGATGATATCTGATTTGTTTGAAGGAAGGGCTGACATTCCAGAAATACACTTAAAATCCGGATAGAATAAAATAAAGGGGGGATTAGAACTGAAAGTTAGAAGCATACAAGAAAAGGAATCACCATTGTTGCAAACCATGACAAGCCCATCACTGAGACAGGGAACTCTAAGCAGGATGCCAACATTGTATGTGTGGCCCGAAGAATGGATGACCTGAAATGCACCGATGTCTAGGCTCTGGAGCTGTATAAGTGACACCTGCAAATCCATTTGCTAACCTGACCAGCAGCAGCCTTTCCCTCTTTGACTTGCCTGCAATTACAGTGAAAGAAGACATGAATGTGGCCCTCTGGGATCCTACTGATCTCTCTAACCACAGTTTCAAAATGAGCAGTGGAATCCCCAGCCTGGTTCAAATTAGCTCCCATCAATTTTACCCGCCTTTGATGGGAGCTAATTAAGCTCCCGTGATTTTTCCCCCCAGACTGTCTCTTTCTGCCCTGGATGAGAACACACTAAATTAGGCCCATCTGTCTAAACAGGAAGAGGGCCACTTACCCCACTGAGGGCTTCTTTTCCTACTGAGAAGCGGCCTTAGGGGGTTCCCAAATGCCGTGGGGGAACTACGGTAACCCCAAATTGACACAAGCTGGAACTCTGAGAAGAGCAGCCTAGTGCTGTGTCAGCCATCATGCACTGGTTCACAGGCACCGTTTCCTTGTACAATCAGATGTCTGAGAAGACTGTACCCTATGCTGTGAGACTACCATTCATTCAAGCTCCAAACGACAATGATCAAGAACTAAGGGTTGGGGCTAGAGCTCAGTGGTATGGCACTTGCTTAGCATGTTCCAAGGACCTGGCTCCATCCCCCAACAGCCAGCAGCAGCAGGACAGGTGATGTACCAAAGTTGGTAGAGTGTTTGCCTGGCATGCACAAAGGCCTCCTCAGTTCCATCCCCAGCAATACATACACGCAACATGGTGCTGCCGGTCTATAGTCTCAGCAATTGGGAATCAGAATCAGGGGGTCGGGAGTTCAGAATCATTTCTTCCCACTTGGTAAGTTCAAAGTTAGACATGAAACTCTATCTCAAAAAATGAAATAGGGCCAATGAGAAACAACTAAGAGGCAGGAAGCGGAAGTGGGTCCAGTTTAAACCGGTAGGTGTAAGGGATGGGAAACCTGTGCAGATAGGAACTACCAGCACACAGTTAGATCCGGGGCTCCACTAACTTCACAGACAGATGTTTACAGTTCAGGCAAATGATTCCACCATCCTTTTGTGAGAGAGCAACCGTATCTTCAAATACAGTGCCTGCAAAGGGATCCCAACCACACTAGAGAACTGTAATGACGTGTTAAGTAAAGCAGTAGGAAGTGATTTTTTTTAATATTATCCAAGATTGTCTTACAGATTTTTTTTTTAATTTTCAGATAAACACTGAAATCACATGAAAGCCCCTTATTGCCAGGGGGAAAAGTTATGACTGACTTGTGACTTCTTTAAATTTCATTTTACTTTCCAAAGGCTCACTGGCAGAGAATTCACCTAACTCATCACCCATGGCAGGGGGTTCGGGGGAGGATGGGACAAGGAAGAGAAATGAAGGAGAGAACTTGCCTTGACAAGTCCTCAGCTGTTAGTCAATAAAAAACACAGTATCAACTGGCCACTAATAGAAATATCCTTTCTCTTTAAGATTAAAAAAGAAGAGAGGTCTAGCCTTTCAGCGACTGCACAAATTTGTTCAGCACTCAATCAAAAGAACAGGGTTGGTCTTTTGGGCATCTGGTGTTTCACCACCCCTAGCCAGAAGCCGGCAAACCGAGCCTCCAGACACAGTTGGGGACCTGAGAAGGGTGGAGGGGCTGGAAGACCAGAAGCATCGATGGGAACTGCCCTCCTCAACAGCAGCCTCACAGCAACACGTGTACTCACCAAATCCAGGTCCTGGGAAACCCGCCGCTTGCGGAGCTCCTCCATCCGCTCACAAACATCGGAGAAGCAGGTATTGTAATAGTCTGCATACTGCTGTGCCAGGTCATCGATGTTTCCCAGGGAACCATCCTGAGGGGAGGAGGAGAGCGGGGGAGAACAGAGGAGGTCAGGTGAGTCTCCTTTAGAAACGCCGCCCAGCATCAAATCCCCTCCTCCCCTGCTGCTGAGTGTTATGGAAATAATGGTTGATATTCTTCATCACCTGGTACACACCGGCCAGGCTAGGTGTTACATGTGTGATGGAATTCCCAGGCCAGTCCTCGGATATGGGGCCAGTTCTTTTCCTAATTTTATTTTTGGGTAAACTAGCCCATAGAGCATGAGTAAGCCGCCTGTAGATGTCAGGGCTAACAAAAAGCCAGGTCTCTCTTTGGATCTACTGAGACCAAACCCATGGTGACCCACTCATCCCTTGCCTAGCATGGCTGAGAGCGGAGCCACCAGGGAAGAAGTATAGTTAGAAGTCACTGTAACGGGGCCACTGACACCCAGTGGTGGTTATGGATGCTCAGTATTTCCCAGGAAGCTACTGAAAGTCCCAGATGTCCAAAAACTCTCAATGAGTCCTGCAACCCCAGGTTCCATGAGAGGAGGCACCACCTAGGGCATCCTGCGTGCCCTCACAAGAGACCAAAAAAATAATAATAATAATAGAAAGCCTTTAGTTATTTGTGTTTGTCAGGAGTCATCATTCATGGCGGTAGTCATTAATATTCATGTTGTTCATTATATTGATTATTCATTAGACATTCAGGCACGAGAGCACATGGCACAAGTTCGCCTAAATAAATAAGTAAACATGTCACTTGTCTCTTCACAGAAGCAGGCTCCCAGGTAGTCCTATGATTGTACATCCATTTCTGTGATCTCTCAATTACCTAGCTCATTTCTCAACCTCTTGGTGACACGGGGTTAATGACAGCGCCCACCACGCAGCAAGCAGGAACGGAGCGTTGTCTCTGAGCATGCCAACCGGCTGGCACACAGCAAGTATGTGACACTCACTTACCCGGTGGCATTCAGTGCAAGAGGTAATCCCATCGCACTTTTGCTCAAGGCTAGACGCTAGCGGATTCCTCGGCACGGGTCTGAACACCCACACAGAGGGTGACCGGAATGCTATGTGTGTTTGAACTAGACATTTCTACTATCACTGTCTCCCACCCAGAACATACCTCCCCTCCTCTGTTTCATGGCTTCCCACGTGTCTTCCCTAATTTGGGGAATAGGCGACTTGAACAGGAAAGCCAAGTAGAATGTGATTTTCTTAAGACAGCCACAGTGTATAGATGACCTAAAGTTCATACCCAAATATCCACACTGCGGACCGGTTGCCAGTCCCTTGGCTATTGATGTTTGTGCAGTGTCTGTATCAAGAGATCTCTCCTAGCAGAGCAGCCTTACAGACAGTAGAATTGGGGTTAAACGTCTCCTGAAGTCCCTCTGCTACAGCTTAAGCCAGAAAGTCAGAAAGTCTACGGCACCTACTGACCACCTCCTCCTACTTCTGCGTTTTTTGGTTTTAGGAACTAAGGGAGGGGAGAAACAGAACTTGCAATAAATGGTTTTCCAGAAATGCTCCTTCTGTTTGACCACGAACACGTTCTGCCTTGGAGGGAACTGCCTCAGAGCTCCTAGCACAGAGTGGGAAGAGAGAGATGCAGACAAGGCCAATACGATCTGGGAGCATTTGGACATGTGTGGGCAAAAGTTATTCTCCAAATACAAGTCACCCTGTCTGGAAACACAGGCTAGACACGGCAGGAGAGGAGGGAGACTACCATCTGCCCTCCCGGGCGCCAGTGAGGACGGACAGAGAGATGGAGATGAGGGGAAGACCAGTGTGTGCCCTTCCCAGTGTGTCTGCTGTCCAACCCCCTGGCATGCACTAGATTCCAACAGCAGCCAGGCCTCTAGAGAATACCAGGTTCCTCATTTTCTAAGTCTTTCCATACTGTGGTGCTATCCTCACCCAAAATTTCTGTCTTTGCCCATCATGGAAACAACAGGCTTGTCACACTGGACCAAATACATAAGTTCCATCTTCTAATACCCAAGTGTCATACTTCATGTTTCCCCTTGCCCTATGTGTGTGTGGGTGGGTGGGTGTGTGTGTGTGTGAGCCTGTTTGCAAGTGTGTACAGTGCCCACTGAGGCCAGAGGAAGGTACTAGATCCCAGTACTTGGAATGACAGACAGTTTTGCGCCACTGTGTGAGTGCTGGAAACCAGAAACGTGAGTCCTCTACAAGAACAGTTCATGCTTTTAACCCTGAGCCATCTTATCTTTCCAGCTCTTGCTTGCTGTTTTTGAACAACAACAACAAAATCAATCTTTCCCTCTCGAACATACACAGACACTCCAAGTGGCTTTCCAACTTCTCTCACACACACAACCACATTTAGTGGGGAGTGTGGTTCAGCTAATAGAGTCCTTGCCTAGCGCACACAGAACCTAGGCTCCATCTGCAGCACCACATAAACAGGGTCTAGTGAAGTGGTTTGCAACCTGTGGGTCACCAACCCATGGGGTGAAGGCTGAAAAACCCTTTCACAGAGGTCGCCTAAGATTACCCTGCATATCCAATATTTACACCACAATTTGTAACAGTAGCAAAATTACAGTTACGAAGTAGCAATGAAACTAATTTTATGTTGGGGGTCACTACAACATGAGGAACTGTATTAAGGGTCACAGCATCGGGAAAGTTGAGGACCACTGGCTCAGGGCTCCATGCCTATAACCCCAGCCTTGGGAGGTGGGGGACAGGAGGATCAGAAGTTCAAGGTCATCCTCGGCTAGATTGCTAGTTGGAGACCAGTCTGGGATATATAGGGCCCTGTCTCAGACAAACAAACGAATGAATACTTATGCACAATTTCCCCATTATAAACTATGGAATCAGTCACACTGACTGTTTTCTTGGACTGGTCCAGGACACCTGAAAACATTAGAAGACAATCACTTATAAAACTATATTCAAACCAGGCTTTTTTTCACTCTCATCACATGTCCTAGGGACAGTCAATGCTAGGAGGCTTTGTCTGCTGGCCGTTTTCTCATACTATCCCAACAGTCGGCTTTTTAATTATATCCTGCATTGCTGAGAACTCCCCTGGTACTCTGGCGGTCTAGAAAAAACATTTCTGTTGGTTCTGAGGAAGCAAACATCTGTTCTGCTCCAATCAGGCCACAGCCAGCCCATATTTCACACCTTCAACATGGCGGTGTGGCCATTCCTCATTTGTCGCTCAGTGGGTAAGAATTTAAAACGGGGTGGCACAGCTGCCTTTACGTGCACCCAAATCACTTTCCAGATGTGCAGTGAGTCCCCATAATTACTACCTTCATGTGCCCTGATGATTTAAAAGCCAACATGGCGAAAGACTACAAGAATGTAAGCGTCTTTTAAAAGTAGGTCTTGACTGCAGTATCCACAAAATTATCTTTTATGTCCCAATCAAATTGAACCAAGGAAATACCTGGTGATTTTCTCTTTATCCACTCAAACTCCAAGCTCTTAAAAAAAGGGGGGGGAACTAGTAATAATGATGAGGGAGGGAGGAGACTCTGGGCAATAGTGAATTTTACAGTCTTGATGACAGCGATGCTCTCTGCGGGAAGTCTAGTCTCCAAACTCATCCAGGTGTATGCATTAACTATGCATAGCTTTTTATGGGGCCATCATCTCAAAATCTGTTCTCTTCTGGGTGTTTGTGGGTGGTGGGGGTTGGGGGGGCTAATTTATGTTCTAAACTAACACGCTCTTGTTTGAAATAGATACACAGCCACTTTTCCAGGAAAATATTTATTCCCACTAAGTATTTGCAACATGAGCCTGTAGGGGGAATTTGAATAACTGCTGATCTTCCACTCCACAACCAATCTTGCTTTCTGTTTCTGTTTTTGAAGACAGGGGTCTTGCTATGTAGCCTAGGTTGACCTCAAGCACATGACAATCATGCTGCCTCAGCCTCCCCAGTGTTGGAATTCCAGGTGGGAGCCAACACACCCACAGCCTGCATCTCTCACATTAAGGGACACTGGTGATATAAAATAATCTTCTAACAAAAATATGACTAAATCATGTTTACAATTGTCATCATGAACACCATTCAGAAGACACCGAGACATTCTTTTTTTCTTCTTTTAAAATATTCAGTGTTGAAGCTACAGAGACAATCGGAGAGTCAATGGGAACTTGTTGCTCTTGCAGAGGACCTGAGTTCGGCTCCCAACACCCACATCAGGAGGCTCACAGCTGACTATACTAAGTATTCAGTTTCTGTTCTAGAATTTATGTACTGCCTAATCTGTTTCACTTCCTTATTTTGCCTTTCTTTCCTTTCTGTTTCTTATAAATTCCTTAAAAGACTATTTAAGTAGATTGTTAAAAGTTTGGGCCATATTATCTTCCTATAAGAATTCAACTTTCCACTCCATCTTTATAAACAAGGAAACAAGGCTACAGGCAAGTCCAACTTCTCCTTCCATACTACAGAAGCAACATGGGGCACGCGCCTAGCACCACCGTCTGTGTGAATGAAATCTGTGGCACACCATCATGGCCAATACGGTGGATGACAAACTGTAACTTCCTCCCATGTATACCTAGCACTCTCCTCTTCCACAAAGGCAGCATAAAAACAGAGACAAAGCGCTTTGAATAAACAGTTCAGATTGAGCGGACGGTTCTTGTGACTCAGGGGAAAGAACAGCTTTGTTCTCTCAACAACGACTTTACCAGTATTTCTCAGACTCATCCCAATGCACTCTCAGTCTCTGGAAAATGTAAAAGTGAAGGTTCTAGGAAAATAGAAGCCGTACAGATGGCTACTTTTGCTATTTTTGCTCTCCTCTCCCCAGATGTCTTTTATGGCTTAGAACATCTTGACAGACTTAAAGAGGGACGAAGGAGACAAAGCTAAGAAAACAGCTCTGAAAACACCAGGAGCTACAATGAGATGGATCTTATGTGGATTATATGCAAATGCATGCAAGTGAGTCAGCGGTCTTCTTATTTCTTTAAAAACGGTTATCCCAGTGTGTGTGTGTGTGTGTGTGTGTGT